ACAATTATTATAAAATTAACCATCTTTTGTCTTATATTTTCAACTGCGGGAATAAGGTAAAAAAAACTGGACAACTGTCAGTGGAAGAGGTAAGAGAAATTGAAGAAGCATTGATTAAACATGAATCAAGTAATATTTTGAATTTATTTCCATTTTTGATGACAGAGGAATACAGTCAAAAGTCGTTAATCCGGACTCATCGGGACTTCGGCGATTCCAAATTATCGATTTTTCCGGATTATAGATCATCAGTTTAAATCTGGTAAGATGGCATGCAGAAATTATAAAATTAAAAATATGAAACCGTAATTTATAAAATAAAGAACAATTATGATCTAAAGAGTATCAAAATTTACAAAAAAAAAAAAAAAACTGAATATTTATTTGTTTACTTATTGGTATTTCTTTCAATGTAAGTTGTTTAAGTTGCTTCGTTTTATGTGATAATACTTTCTTTTTAATTCTATAAACAGACATAATTTCTTGTTCAGTTACAAAGTCCCGCTGTTCAAGTCCCGTTAATTGCTCTGCCAAGAATACCGACTAACTTGTCAATCGAAATTTTTTCGTTTTCACTAAGCTCTCTGTCACCTTCTTCATGTCTTTATTAATTTTTTGCAGCAATTCCACTTTTTGTTTCATGGACATCGAAACATACTTTCGTTTTGTAGATCCTTTGGGAGCTCCAGCATCGGAAATTCTATTTGACATAATCGAAAGTTCAAGTTTACTTTTATAAAATTGCTCTTACAGTCTGCAAAAAATAATAAGCTGGATCCAATTCGAAGATTAAGGAACAACGCAATCATCAACATTAACTGAAATAGATAATTAGATAATTTTAGCTTATACCGTCTGTTATACATAAAACGCACACGTAAATGCCTATCCGCATGTGTCAGCGCAGCGCATGCGCAGAAAGGTTTTAGCTTTGAGGTCCGGATTATAGATCATTCCGGATTATAGATCATTCCGGATTATGGGTGTCCGAATTAACGACTTTTGACTGTAGTACGTGTAGGAGGAAGGTTGAAGAATGCTTCAGTGCCATACTCTCAAAATATCCAGCTATTTCACCTAAGGCTTCAAGATTAAGTAAAATTTATTTTGAAAGTTTGCACAGAAAGTTATTTCATGTTGGACCACAAGGTCTGCTGAATGCAGTGTGCTTAAAATTTTGGCCTTTACGTAGCCACACTCTCGCACAGAAAACAGTACATCAATGTATAACGTGCTTTAAATGCAAGCCCACTTTTTCTTCACAAATTATGGGTAATAAGCCTAGTGAAAGAATTAATGTATCACCTCTATTTGCTATAGGTACTGATTTATGTGGCCTTTATTTAGTGAAATTTAAAAATCAACATAAGAGTATTCCAAATAAATTGTATATTTATATTTTTATATGTTTCGCAATGAAAGCCATTCATCTTAAAACATTAACAAATTTGACTTCCGATGCTTTAATTGTAACACTTAAACATTTTACAAGTAGACCTGGCAAATGTTTCAAAATTTATACATACAATGGTACTAACTTTGTTGGAGCGAATTCAAATTGAAAGAAATTTATAAGATCAGTAATTTCTCAGAAAAATAATCAAGAAAATATACATTACAATCGCCTCACTTCAGTGGACTTTTTGAAGCTGGAGTAAAATCGATGAAGTACCATCTTAAACGTATGATTGGCAATTTTCATTTCACTTATGAAGAATTCGAAATGATTGGCATTCAGATAGAAGGAATATTAAATTCCCGACCACTTTAGGTTAATAATATTAAATTCATGACCACTCTTGCTAGTGATTCAGAAAGTTTCGAAGTTTTGACACCAGATCATTTCTTGATAGGGTGACCTATAAGAGCCGTTTTTGACAGATTTAAGGGAAAACCACTTAAGTTGCTGACAAAAAAACCACAAAAACTGTACAACTTATTTGGAAAAAATTTGAAATCCAATTACTTAAATACTTTACAAGCTAGATCAAAATGGATGGTTGAAAAAAATTATCTAATGATAGTCAAATAGTTTTGATTAAAGAAGATCTTCTTCCAATTAGTAATTGTATTTTAGGGTAAATAACATCATTGCACAACGGTTCTGATGAAAACGTCCGTGTTGTGAAAGTTCATACCAAAACAGGGGACAATTAATAAATTAGCTGTATTGCCTACTGAAATTTAGTAAACTATGATTTATGTTACTCAATTATTAATAATTATATATTGAAATTTATTTTTCTCAGTAATTTTGTATTCTTGTCTACAAGTTTCGATATTTTGTTTACTTATTTTATATTTCTATACATATTTTATACTTGTTTACATGAATAACCAAAACTTAAATATTAATATTTCATAATTAAACTTATGTCAAGTTCTTGCATGTGAACATGGCAAGGCCAGGTGGGATGTTGGTGCACTTTTTTGCCAACGAATCTCGCCAGTTGATCACCTCTTACAAGTGAGGCAGACATAGTTAAAAAAACAAATCTAACTGGCCTGACGCGAGCAATTACTATAATCTGAAGCTCACAGTTAAATTGCATTTTGCTTCACTGTAAATATTTGTACATGATGTTTTTCTTGATAAAATAGTTAAAAAAAGAAGCTGTGAAGCTAGTGTGTCATTAAAATTAATCTTTAAGAATATAAAATTCATTCAAAAACTTTAAAAGTTTAGAAAACTTTCAGCATACAACCCCTACCACAACTTCAAACAACCTGTTATCACAGAACTTTGTAAAGACTTTTAACTGCACACCCTGTTTTTGTGACACTATAATAGAAAAAGCAGAACTATTTGAATGCTACGGATTTGCCCGAAAATAATTATCATTTCAAACTACTGGAGGCTTTTGAAAGCTTAAATGCCCTGAACTTTGGCTATTTAACAGCACAGCACAATATACATTAGTCAATGAAGTAACAAAAGTGCATATCAGTACAACTGAAAATAAATTGAGCTGCTTTACATAAAAGAAATCGAAACTTTGCTTTATATTTAGCAGGGTTAGTCTATATTTTAGGGTACCCTTTGGATTATCACCAAGTTGTTGTTTCATTTATGGTAATCAGAGTAGTTGAATGTTATGGAAACCCTATTATAATGCGATTGAGGTGAATTTGACTGATGAGAAAATATTTGTAAGGGCTTATTTATGTGTTGGATATTGGTTAAAAAGTACGTTGCTTATGTTGTGCTTTACACCGTAAAATGCCTGCTGATGGTACAGTTAATCTGAAATTTCTGTACACTTTAGAAGATTGGGAAAGAAAACATTAATTGACTGCTGTGCAAAGGAAGATTTAAATAACTTCGTTCACCTCTTGGTAAATTATGCAATGAGATTTGAATTCCATATTTCCTTTTTGTATTGTGTAGATTACATAATATGTATTTCCACTCTTATGTTATTTCCTTGTTTAATTTAAAATGCAATTTATTGAGATTATATATTTTTTGATTTAATTATGTTTTATTGCATTATGCTTTGGATGCTATTTTACTGGGGAGGGTGTTGGACGTAAACAGGAATGGCACCAAAAAATCGCCAAGAGGTACCCTGAAATATATTTTAACTTTTAGCAGAATACATATTCTCAAAGTATCTCAAATTCTCAAGTAATTCTCAAAGTCAAGGCAAGACTGGATTTTAAAAAGTTCATGAAACTGAATGCTCACTTTTGTTAATTTGCAATTCAAACATTATAAATAAATTTTTAACATAGAAGAATGTAAGTTTTTTAAATTGGTGTCAAGATAATAATTTATAAATACATGATGCAAAATCAAGGTAAAAGGTTTCATTTACGCTTTCTCAAGAATAAAAATATAAAAATTACTGTTTTCAAAAATAATTTTACTTTTCATATCACAAAATTTGTATTAGTAATAAAATTAAGATTGATTCAAATTCAAAAGAATTAAATGAATGGAATTTTTACGCCTAATAATAATTATTGTATAAAATTATATCTTTACAAGAATTTGAATGAAATACTTCATTGCTTTCATTGAATTAAGTTTTTTTTTTTCACCTGAGCATCCAACTCCAGTAGGGAAAAAATTCTAGAAATTTAGATAAATTGAATGAAACTTATTCTTTCTCTTCAAAAGCACACAGTAAAAAAAATAATCTGAACTATATTTTTAAAAAAATTAAGAAATGTCAAAATTTTCATAAGAAAAATTCAAAATACTTACATGAAGTATTCTCAAACACTTCTAAAATAATGCTCTATTACTTATAAATTTAATAACACAGGAAATCTAATAATAAAAAGAGATCTATTACATGAAAATTCTCCAGCTTGCATGAAGCTACCAGAATGCAGTACAAAAGATTGGAAAGACTTTGCATGACATTCAATATTAATGAAGAAAATGAGGTTACATGCAAGCTGTTCCAAATTATTTTGCTTAATAGCTTATGGCAGTAAAAATTAAATAAACATTTAAATTTTTCTTTTTGGAGTGTGTGTGTGGGGGGGGAATTTTTTGTTTTCTTCTTTGGGGGGGATTTTTTTTCCATGTGTAATTAATTAGCCAGATATTCAGCTGTCTACTTATATTCAGTTCTTGTCAAATGTTCAGTATCTGAGTATTTGTTAGCTACCTAATTGTTCAAAATTTATTATCCATAAACCACTAATTCTGCACTCTATTTAATAATATCCCGTCACCATTTCCAAAACTCACTGTCTATATATAATATACTAAAATATAAGCAAAGAAAATTATTATTTTTCTTATTACTATATAATGATGTATAGAAGGAAGTAGATAAACTGTAACACACGTAAATTCCCGTTTTGATAAAAAAAATCTAGCAAAGTATTATTAGTTAAAAAAGTTTTTAAAAGATATCTGAGTACTCTTATATTATCTTTCAGGTATTTTGCCTTTCTAGAAGAATACGGAATTACAACATATGAATAAAAAGAGAGAAAAGGAAAAAATATGTGAATGACAAAATAAATGAGATAAAATATACCTTGAAACAAGATGCTCTATATAGCAGCTGAACAACATGGCCTATACTAGTTTTAGATGCTTGTGGAAAATGAGGAGCTAAGCGTTGCACAACAAATCTTACCAAAACTTTTCTAGATAATGCTGATCCATCTTCTAGTGTCAGCAAAATAAGTTTTAACACTTCTTCTTGCATAGCTATAGAGACAGTCATTACACCAGACATTTTAAAATGAGCCTTTTCCCGAGTATATAAAAAAACAAAATTACATTTAATAGTATCTAAACTTAAAAAATATTTACATAAGCAAACAAATATACTACCATTTTACAATAAATATGAAAAATTGCTCATAATAATCCTTCAGTCAAGCAATGTCAATACTTTCATTCACATATTTTCCATTTTTATAAACAAATCTTGATATTTTTTGCTTTAAACTGAATTTTAAAATACACACCTGAGGCATTTGCCAGTATTGAAAGAAACTGAAGTAAAATATCTGCAGAATTATAGTATTTTGCAGCAAAATCATTAAAAGGAACAATGATGAGAAGCATTTGGTAGACAGCTGATACACAATGTCGAGTCTGTGCAATTCTCCTATTTTTTTTCAAGTGAAAACAGATTGTTGTGTGTAAATAATAAAGAACAGCATAAAAAAATTAAATTTGCAGAAAACATGCTTTAATTCTTATCGTATGATTTAATCCTTAATAATTGAAATCGATAAAGTGTATTTTCTTTTGATATGTTAATAATGTTTGTCGACTTTACAACAAATACTGATAGTTAAAACATTTCTTAGGAAAATATGAAAATCACTACCTTGAAACAGATGAATAACTTTTACTTCTTCATCCGTAAAAAAGAAATCGCTAAATTGCACCAAGGTGGTTGCATTAATACATAAGTACAGAAAATATATTAGAATACATTTTGTGTGATTAAAATGATTATAAAATAACATGCACATGAATAACATTACCTTCATACAACTTTAATTTTAATTTTAAACACAGTATGATTTTAACAGGCATTATACAGAACAAGATGATAAAATTTGATGAATACTACAGAAACTACACATTAACTCTTCCCCACAATTGGCTTAATTTAATGCTGTACAGTTTAAAATTATTCCAGTGCAGGAAATATGCTAGCATAGTCAGTTATTTAATAATGCTTACCTTTTTATGTATTTCAACAACTAGAACTTTTCCGTTTTGCTGGCGCAAATCTTGCCAAGCAGACTTTGTTGGTGACAACATACCATATACAAGTATACACGTAAAAAATGTTAGTTTTAAGAATTTTTTTATTTTGAATGCATAAACATTTTAATACCGTTTAAAATTTTGTAAAAAGGCCAAAAAATAAAAACAATAAATTTGTGAAAAGATTTTGATTTAAGAATTTACTATACTTTCATAATTCAACACCCTGATTCGCTAGTTCATATCACATGACCCCAAGTGATCTCATCTCACGTAAACTTCGCTACAAAAATCTAATTCTGTCAGTAATTATCTACATTAATTTCAAGTTAAATCTTAATTTGGAATACAAGTTTAAATGCAGGATTTATTTCAATTTGTATGAATAGCTTACTCAGAAATTATGTAAAACCGCAGTGTTATACTTCGCTAGTGCATTCTCATTAGAATTGATGAATTTATCCCTTGACTTTTGCCTTTTCTATATTTTCGCCTTCGGGTGAGTGGTGTGATTGCATCTTAATTGACTTAATTAATTGGCCCTAGGGCATAAAATTGAACTATCTGGGTAAAAATTCTTTGTAATTGTATGGCAGTATTAAAAGAAACAATCAATCTGATAAGAAATGGCTGCGACTTGTTTTGAAGATGAGGCATAAAAGGTTACCTGTGAAGATAGTCCATTTGGCATCTGTTGTACCATTATTGGTGACTTTATCGCATGCGCTGGCAAAATGGAAAAGTGCCCAATAACTTAAATATTTAAAGAAAGAGCAATCAGTGAGAACACATCATTTTCTTTCACTCTTATGATAATAAATACTTTTTGAAAGCATAACAACATCTTAGTTAATATTTTCACTTCTTATGTAAATAATTTAATAAATTAATTTATCCTTTTTCTATGATTAAAATTCAGTGATTTTGATATACTGTTTTCACAGTTTACCACACTTCTTTTTTTTTTTTTTTTAGACAATTTCAATATGTTTACATGTAAAAATAATATATGATCAGATGCCTAGATTACTAAGCCAACAATGGGAAACTGTGCTGTAGCGTTATGTCAGAATTTAGAAGGAAAACTAGAAGTCAGGGTATCACATGCATCATTTTTCAAGTGATCCAGAACTTCGTAAGTTACAGATTGTTCGCTGCAAAAGACCATGTAATTTCAACATAGAAAATGCAAGAATATGTACTGTTCATTTTACACCTGATGATTACATACGGGATTTACAGACATACATCAAGACAGAATTGCTTGGTTTAATTTCTAAAAGGGTGCTCAAAGCCAATGCTGTTCCCACTTTACATCTTCCATCATCATCATGTGAAAATAACTGACCAATATGTTGTACTTCAAAAACTGAAGTTAATCTGGAGAGAAAGATTTCTAACACGAATGGTTCATCCAAATTTATGCTAAAAAGAGCTAAAGCAAGCAGGTGTCAGGCTCATGAAACAAGGAAAACAAGTGCTGGAAAATGCAGCTTCCCTAACCCCCCTCCCCAAAAAGGCTACTAGCTGATAAAATAGACTGTCCAACTCAGTTTACACCTAGTGACACATCTGATTTAATCCATTACAACCAGATAAAATATCTGCTTATTATTTTAAATGAATTTACATAGTTTTCATACATAACTGTGATCGAATGGATACATTAATATAAGTAATTGTATATTTATAGGTCATTTCACTATTATTTTACATTTAAAATTTAAAAAATTCTCACCTTAAATCACTTTTTATCATAATCTTCATTTTGTGAATGAGACTTATATCACAATGAGATATTTAAACTCAGTGTCATGTTTACCAATGCTGACTACCTAAATGATTAGATAATTATTAGTTCGCTTATACAACTTCAATCATATGCCTATGTGATTGAAGTTGTATAAGCGAATTTAAAGTTTAATTTAAATTTAATAATTTAATTAAATTACTTTCTTTACAGCCCAAAAGTAATTCTATGTAATGAAGCAATTTCTGGGTTAAGCATTGCGAACTAAGTAAACTGATATATGCTTCACCCTGAGGAAAGAACAGTTTCTCGACCACACTATCATGCAAACATTGAATCAGTGAGTGACATATTCCCATCAGTGTTATTCAATTGAAGCATATGTCTGATGTAATTTAATTGATATAAATAAGTGAATTTACCCATGCTTGACACTGAAGGAAAACAAATATGTGTATTGTGTTAGATAAATAAACGAAAGATTAAGTAATATTCTCATCAGTATTATTTAACTGATATGTTTTAATTTTCATTCCATATAATTTGTTTTTAATTATAACAAAAAGAAAAATATTTAAATACCAGACACTATTTTGCGTACAACGTATTTTAAGAAACAAGCTGATATAGTAATTAAAAATATTTAATTTGTATGCAGGCTTAATTGAAATTAAGAATTAGGGAAAGAGTACTTTTAGATAATACTGAAAATATATCCACTTCTGTTGAAATCTGAAGTGAATCCATATAAGTGACTTTTCATTTAAAAAAGAAATTGATAAGTCTATTAAAAAGTGTATTGAGGTGATATTAAGAAATTTGTATAATTTTATATTAATTAAGTATGAGTTTGGTGATTCATATCTTTTTATATATATATTTTTTTACTTGAGATATGTAATTTAAACTGAAAATCACGATCATAAATGGGAAAATACTTTTTGATTATGTTATTACCATGGTTTTAGCAGTTCTGCCTTCATGTCTTCTATTCAACAAGATTTATTAAGTACGGACAACACAACATAAAATATTAAAAAATAACGTGTTTTATAATATTTAGTTTCCTTAATTAACTGAAATATCATTTTTCATATTCTAATGCTTTCCTTTAAGAAAAAAATGTTTACAATTATTTTAGCATTCGTACGAATTCTCAGCTTAAAATAAACATTTGATTTGACAAAATACTTAATTGGAAACTATATACTTGGTATTTCCGATATGTTATTATATATACTACTCGTAAAATGATTATTTTCCTTTATTTTTTCCATTATTGAAATCATGCAACAGACGCATTGACCGATGAGTCTTGTCACTCGGGTGATGTCACTACCAGAAACCAATGGCATGCCTTTTCCTTTCCTGGCTTTAACATATTTAAGAACCTTGAATAATATCAGATTTGTGGCCTGGATATCAAACAGAGGAGCTCACTGCTGCCGGTTTTGAACATTTTTAGGAGAATCATTAACACAATTTTGCTGACCCATCTACGAAGACTCATACTCAATACGTTGAAAGGATGTGGGGTTCTGCAAAATGGAGGAACAAGTGATAATGTAGGACAAGTCGCCATCATTTGGATAACCATTTAGTTGAATTTACTTGGGGGAAAAAACAGGAAATACCTTTTGATGCTATTTTGAAAGCTATTTCCCACCACTTTCTTTACCATTAACTTTTAACTTCAATGTTTTCTTTTACCCAGTTTTAAGTTTATTTTTTTTTTAATTCGTATTTAGTATACAGTTTATATATATGTTTATTTATAATATATATATTTGCGATTTTTGATTTTTAAGTTTTTGTTTCTTTATAATTACAGCTTTTATTTTTAAAAGAATTTATAAACATAAACCAAAAAACGCCAATGAAGATTTTTATCGGCAAATGTTGCCAAGGTAGTCATCTAGTATGTAAGTACCGAAAAACTTCTTTTATATCATCTTCATTTATTACCGCTTCTCCACATTTCTTTACAAAATCCGTTCATTAGAAAATTTCTCCTTTGGTTTGCGATATCCAAAAACCTTCAGATTCGTGGCTATCATCATAAAATTTAGATATCGTTCACTATACATATTTTGCTATGTATCATGAGATTGGTGACTAAAGACAAGTTGTTCTGCTAAATTTTATCTTGCTTCTATTGTGCACAGTGACAATTAAGCCTGAATTGTATTAGTTTAGTTATTTATTATACTTATGCCTATTCCTTGCACATGCTTAAGGCTTATCTGAGTATTGAATAAATAAATTGCCCCATATATAGGCTTATTGAGGGTTGGCGCTAGAAATCTTACCGCCTGGGTTCCAAATTCTGCTACCAGGTGCCTCCCTTCGTCTTCCCTAAATCCTGTCACTCATTGCAGCCATACAATCTCTGGCACTCGCTCTGGGTTTATGCGAATCACAAATCAGTAATTCTTAATGCAAATAGTGCCAAATGTAATTTTTTGCCTATAATTATCATTAACAAAATCTAGTTTTAGCATATGGAAAGAAGTTTTTGTTAAATTTTTCCTGTCAAGATTTCTTAGTGCATTAGCTTAAATCTGTAATCATCGCCAAGCGTAATATCAACATAAAAGGTTACCATACCCTCTGTTATTCAATTACTTATATAAAAAAAAATTGCTTAGGCATCGTTACATGAGTCATTACTCAAGTTGTCATCTGTTGATCATCATGCGGTGATAAAGGCAAAATATAATAAATAATGATTTGCCAGGTTGGAGTCAGGGATATAAAATATTAAATTCTACATAGATACATCGTAAAATCAACGATGTATCTATGTAGAATGTCTTGGTTGAGATGTATGCCAAGCAGATACAGAGCCAAATTATCAATTATATAAATTTATGCTAAAATGATTGTTTCTTCAATAACAAGATATTTTATTTAGTGCAAAGTGAAATTAAGAATTGTTATTCTCCACATGTTTCATTATGCGCTGGGGGGGTCAAAAGTGCATACGTAAAGCACACACACACATACCAAAAAAATTTTTAAAGTTGGTTTTAGATCATCGAGGTCCGGATTTTAGATCATTCCAGATATTGGACGTCCGGATCTCGGACTTTGTATTGTAGTTTTTAACTATCCAGAAAATGTAAGCATCCTTTCAAATCTATATTGTTATAAAATAATATTCAAATGAAGCATAATTTCTGATTACCTACCTGGACCTAAAAATTGGCAACCTCTAGCTCTTACTGCAGCCCACAAATTCGCAGATAACTGCTGGGGATTTTGATGCTGCAGTATTAATTCTGTAACAGAACGTTCACCCAAAGATCTTGCTGTTCTCATTCCCCGTGTTCTACCTTCTTCTTCAACAAGTTGGCAATTGATGAGTGTTACTAACTTCTTTTGCATCGGTCTGCTTAACACAGTATTCTGAGGAATTCCATTTAATGTGCCTATATTGTAACACAATAATACAAAATATAGAGTACAGTATTTCATAAAAACACAACTGAAAATTATTACAGTTTGATTGAGAATAGCTTAAAACGCTAAAAGACTTATGCGTATTTTATGATGAATTTTAAAATCATAATTTACGTTATATGAATTAAAAAAAGTCACCATGAATTTGCAAATACCTTTTGCCCTGTTCTTAAAAATCTGAACTATTTACTGATAGAAGGATAATTTATTGGACAAAGCACAAATAAACAACTAATACAGAAAACCTCATATGGAAGGACTTCCTAAAGAGCATCAATTCACAAGAATATTCATTTTACACACGTGAAAATATGAAAACCAAATGTAACTAGCATGGCCACATTCTAATCCAAATTTACAAGCATTTATTCTGATTCTTTACTCAGCTGGCAGCTAACAGTTTTTTAACCTACTATATTCATAATCAACATAAGAATCTCAAAAACCAACTGTATAAATACAGTCATACGTTTATTAATGATCTCTAGCACCAAACAAATGTCAACCCACAATATGAAGATGCTACTTAGCTTGTGAATACAGTGGATAGCACATCTACAGACTTAATAAAAGAAAAATAATTTTAACAAAAGTTATACCATGTTATAAGAAGCATTGCTGTATAAAGTGTGCCTTTATTATTGCAAATAAAGTAATTTTTTGAGTGTTTTTAACATTTTAATAAATAAATATTATGTAACTTAATAAAATAAAACACTGCCTGTACTACAAACCTGTAAGTAGAAAAAATTCAATCCTTAAGTAAATAAAATTTTTTAAACACATTTAAAGTAAAATATAGAGCCCATTTTGGTTAATCTTTGGATTATGGTAACTTGGGGATTTTTGGCGAAAATTTGGCAACTAACCCTGCTACAGCAACCTTCTACTTTTTTTTCGGCGCCATTTTGTCTTCACGAAGTAAAGACAGATTTCTTTTTTTTTTTTTATTTACTCAACATTTTTTCCAACACCCTGCTAGCCTAATTACACGTCAATCTATTTTCACTTAAAAAAACATCCCAGAATTGCACAAAAATGGCATTGCGCACACTCTTGACTTTATCCCTGTACACTACTTTTTTCTCATAAATTAGAAAAATCTGCACGAAAATGCAGGAAAATTTTGTGAATCTTTACAGTCAGTAAAAAGGACATATATGAAATTACCTGATCGCAAAAAAGTATATACCCTTTCCAATGATGAACATTTGCACGTATAAAATAAATAAAATATCCAAAATCTTTTCCCTCTAAATTATCTATTATAAACGTCACCTGCGAATTTATAATGCAAACATTAAAAATGGTTGCAAATACTTAGTGTCAAATATTTAAATTATTGCCATGCACATTTACTTCTACTGAAACGTATTCCAAAATGCTACAAACATATAATTCACAAAATCACTATCATTTAATTAAATTAAAAAACACTACTTAAAATATAAATAAACACATACATTAAATTAATAAAAATTAGCTTAAAATCTTAATTACTTTAAACTAATTCATTGCTAATAACAATTTTCCAATAATAGCATATTAATTTATTTATTCCTTATATTTAGAACAATGTATAAAAATAAAATCCTCAAATGATTAAAAATACTAACTTACCTAATCTTCTTCAGAATCTCAATCGTATTCGTATGTACGCCTGTTTCAGGATCTTTAAAATGATACTTATGGTTAACAGCAAGATATTGAAAACCTTCATCCTCCAAACAGGCATATGACTTCCAGCAATCAGATATTATTATTGTACCAGGTAGAATATACTGCTTAATAAAACTTAATAAGCAATCTTTACTTCTATCTTGCACAAACTAAAAAAAAACACTTATTACTACCCCTTTCAATCCCACTAAATACCCATTTCAAATTCACTTTAGATAGGGCCATGGGATCCAAAAATTAAGCAACTCTCTTTCACACAACACAGAATGAAGCTAAATACAAAATGCTATAAAGTACTGCAGATATTTTTCCAGATTTCCCCCCTTTTCCAATTAAAGAACTGTGATTCGTGACATATCTCATAATCTCTCATTTCTCTCAGACAAAATAATCCGTAATTGGAACTGGGTACTTCTCACATTATTGCCAAAGTCCTAGGTAGTAACCTTTATCGCCTACCAAAATGTCGCCAAACTGCCTGTTACCATATTCCAAAGATTAGCCTAAATTTTTTTCTTTTTAATCTCAAAATCAATGTTTGTTAATACTTCATCATTACGAGTTAAAGCAACAGGAATCAGTATAATATTCATAATTTGCAGGACTGGTTTCAAAGGTTTAAAATATAGAACCTCCTTCTTTGGCTGCAGAGATGCAAATGATTCTGTTCAGACACCTTCTGTTCATATGCTTGAACCTAGATATATAATAACCAGGGACGAGACTCTGCAACAACAAACTGCATTAGAATCATTTGCCCTTCTGCAGCTAAAGAAGGAGGTTCTATTATTTAAACCATTGAAACTAGTCCGGCAAATTTATGAATATTGTGCTGATTTGTGTTGTTTTAACTCCTCCAATAATCATTATTCAGCATGTTATTTTAAGTCAAATTTCATTGTTTCATTAAACATTAATTATCTTTATGTCACTTCTGCTAATAATTAATTTCCAAATAATAATGAACTTCTCATTAAACACAAATTCTGGAAGAGACATGATGGACTTTAAAGGATGTTAAAATTTAAGCAACTCTTTCTTTGTAATTCTAGAACAATTACATTTCCACAGTTTGTTTGGCTTAGAAAATTAAAATTAATCTTACATTAAATATACATTCAGCATGGATAACTCATGCTGTAATGCTTTTCAATATGCTACCTAGAATATTATTTAAGCATTAAAGCTTAAAATCAAAAACAAATAGTATGAAAATAATATAATCCCCAAAAAGGATTGGCCAGTTAATGATTCTTAAAATGTTTTTAAGTGGGGAAACTTGTTCAGATAAATAATTTAGTCTGAAAAAAATGTTTCTAACTACCTATCATCTGAAAAACTTTAATTCTGCATGGATATGTAACACAGTAGTAATCAGGAATACTTTAGATTGTCTATTATGCATTTTGATATGAAGACTCTGTAGGGTTTATATTTATTTTAACTAACATTTATTTTAAGTTTAAACTATCTTTCCTGTCAAGCATTACTTTCCCCTGGAATTGCCAATGCCAGAGTATGTAAATTTTAGTAGAACACGCAAGTATTCAAATTGTCAGCGGAAAAGGGAAACGAGTTCGAAAGTGTGCTTTCTTGCTTCACGAGCGTGGAGGTGGCTAGTTAGAAATTGAAGAACCACGCATTTCGGCCTGTGTGCTTGCCTCGGTAGATTGTTAATCTTTCAACGTAATATTCAGAAGTTTGCTGAATTATCAGCGGTATTTTAGAACGCGGTGAGGTTAGTTACGTTTAGAGAGCTCGTAGTTAGTCACTTGTTACTATTCTTTTCTTAGTTTCTTATTTTTATTTTACCGCCGGGTCGGCGTAGTTTGTGAGCGTCAAGAGCACGCATTTGTAATTTCTAAAGTTGAATAAAAAGGGATTTAAACCCTTCTCAAGACTTTGTCTACTTTCCAGTTCTTAGCAGTCACCACTATTGTTGTGTGCAGGTTGGAAGCGCGCAACATTACATTGGCGCCCGAACACTTGTCGAACTGAAATAGCCAAAAATTGGATGGAAGTTGCTGGACAACAAGAAATGGCAAGCCGATTGGAAGGATTTGGATACCTGGTCCAGACGATGAGAGCGTCAATCAAGCCAAACGTCAATTTTGACGGAAAAAATTCGGTGGCGAGGCGATATTTCTAGAAGGCCTCGACAATCACTTCCAGCTCTAACCTGTGCCTGAAAGACAAAAAGTTGCCATCGCTACATCTGCACTAAGAGGACAGGCTGCGCTATGGTGGAAGAATATAGGCAAATTTTTATTAGGGCAATTTGGAGGCCAGACATATACATTTGAAAATTTCAAAAAATCGTTATTAAAGGCCTTCCCCATAGTGAAAGATCGAGCAAGGCTAGAAGCCGAACTGTATAGTTTTTATCAACGGAATATATAGAAGAGTTGACAGGACTTTATTCTGCGAAAAATTAAGCTGACGGATATGCTGTATGGGAAGAAACCCGACGCGGAGATTATTGAAATAATCTTACCAAGATTGTTACCTGCTGTTCAAGACTACTTCGAAATTAGAAACCCAAGCACATTGCAGGAGCTCTTCGAATTGGCGGTCAAGTTTCAAAATCGCAGAATAGCGGAAAAAGCTAGAGGGGGCATCGTATTCTCAAAGTATCCGAAGGCAATTTGTGAAGGTCTTTCTCAAATGAGCAGACCAGAAATGCAAACCGCTCTTATGGGGGAAAGAGCTATCAAGCTAACTCATCGAAGCTCGAAGGTCAAGGCCCAGAAAGGAAATTTGAAAACAACCATCCGCGTACCCAGAAGGCAGAAGTTGAAAGGAAAGCTTTAAACGAATAGAGGGGCCTGTGAAAGGGAGGGTCCAAAACCTGGAAGTTTTGAAAAAACCCTCAAAAAGATACTTAAATACGGTCATCATAAAGAACTCGCAGTTACCAATTATACAGGTCCTGGTTGGGTTGGCGATGACCCAGTAGAAGCCCTATCGATACAGGAGCAGAAGGTAATTTTATGAGTGATATTTTTTATAACTTTAATAGGTTTCGATTATTTAAAAATAAAAACATAGAAATCATAGCAGCGCAAGGACAAACTTGTCATTGTATTGGAAAACTATCTTTAAAAATACAAGTTCAGAACGAAAGCCTTAAAGTATTAATTTTTGTAGTAAAAAACTTGCAAAATCCACTTATTTTAGGTATGGAGTTTTTAAAAGGCCGCGAAGGCCAAACTGAATTTTCAGGAAAGTTCTATCGTGCTGGAGATGGATCGGAGGGTGGTGGAACCAGTGGAACAACCGCAAGT